AGCCTCTTAACACCACGACAAGTCACACAGCCGTGTCTAATTCAGAGGGACAGAGAAGGAGAATAAGGCTATTGGTAAGGAATGCGAATTGCTACCAAACTCTTCTTCCTCAATAGTGATTTTCTTGGATACCGTTTTAGTAGTTTATTATTGGCTAAAGATTCAGGATTATATCAATGTATCCCAGCCTGCCTCTGAGACTTGTCAGTGCATACAGGTCAAGTATAATATCGCTGGTTTTTAATCTTTGCTAAATACATGGCACACTTGCCAATTAAAGTAGGTGACACACACAAAAAACAAAAACAAAAAAAATAAAGTAGGTGACACAATTCAAGGTGGCCTGTAGAGGGCGTGCCTCCTCCTAGAATTAGGGCCCTTTGATCGGTGTCACACTTACTGTGGACTGCAGTAATCCCCTTGCCAATAGATGTATATTTATAAAGGTTAATTTTGTCATTTGAAAGACTAATTTGACTACAGAGTAATTTAGGCAGAGCCTTATGATTTTCGCTGGAGTTTACAATATGACCTTTTCAGTTGCTTCTTTTATTCCTTTGGTAAACATATATTAAAAGGTTTTTATTAACTTTCTTTTTTCAGGATTTAGTTTCCTTGGGTTCTAATTATTTCTCAAACAGGCCTTCTTCAGTAACATGATAAATGTCTATAATGTAGATTACAGACAGGCTACTGTGTTTTCAAACCAGTTCAAAGAGCATGTTAGATTTTATTTATCAAAGTGAATAATTGTGATAATCATTTAGAGTATTCGATCCTTTCCAACGCCCTTTTTATGTATCTGTGAGGATCCTAACACTGGTTGAAGGAGAGAGGGAAGGCATGTGAAATTGTTGCCATTTTACAAAGGACAGAATTGGACCACAGACAAGGGACAGTGCCACCTGCTTCTCGGTTTGACCAAATAGGTCATGATCGCACTAAGAAAGAAAGAGAGTTATCCTCTGACTTTGGGCCAAAGTGGAGTAGGTTCATACCGTTGAACCTTCTACCTCCCTTTCTCTTCTTTGAGAACTGTCTGTCATACTTCCTTCCCTCTGTGTGATCTGAACGGATTTAGCCCAGGTTAGTTTGAGATGTTTGTGGAAACCTGGCACATTCAAAAGGAACGGAGAACTATCATATATAATCTACACATTTTCCTGGTGAGAGAAGCCCTTTTTTTTCCCCCTGGGAAAAAATAATATAGTTATGCAAATACAAAGACAGTATGGTGACTCCTCAGTGGTTCAGCCTAAAGTAACTATGGAACATGTAGCCATTATTTTATCATCAAATTTGCCGTTATCCTGGTCATCTCAGTATTCTTGAAGAAAAACCGAAGCCAACTTGCCAGGCTCCCAGATCCGTCACTATCTGGATTACAAGCGCTTGTCTCTCTCACTGAAGCCACCCCTTGCATGATCACTCCGGACTGTGTTAATCAAGCATCCAACTGCAGAGCCTGGGCAGTCTAAACTCAGACATGTTTCTGAGCCCAGCTTGGTAACTTAAGACCTTTCTCACTCTTGATTTGTTTCTGGTTCTCAAGACAGGACAGTTGACCCTTTTACTTTGTTCCTATTGCCTCCCTTCATCCTCACTTCCTTTCCCATGTGACAAAGCATGTTCCTTAGCATTTGAGGTTATTCCTGTCTGTCCAAGGACAATCAACTGTCCTCGTTTGCTCAGGACCAAGGGATTTCCTCAGAGCTAAGATGGGAACAGTCATTTTTTAGAAGTCATTTATTTATTTTTGGCTGTGCTGGGTCTTCATTGCAGCGAGTGGGGGCTACTTTCTCTTGTCCAGGTGGCGTCTCTTGTCACGGAGCACGGGCTCCGCGGGGTGCAGGCCTCAGTAGTTGTGGCACATGGGCCTCATTGCCTTTTGGCATGTGGGATCTTCCCAGACCAGGAATTGAATCCATGTCCCCCGCGTTGCAGGTGGATTCTTATCCACTGGACCACGAGGAAGTCCATAAAATGGGGCGAGTCTTGCACAGACCAGGACGTTGGTCACCCTAGTCCCCTGTTTTCTTATGTGGAGATACTATATGATGGTGCTGCACACATCTCTTCCCACCCCTGTGTTCAGTGACACTGCAGTGGTAGCTCAAAATCAACCATGGAGGAGTATTTATACCATGGAAATCCACAAATGCTTCAAACTAGGGCTTGACATGTTGATTTTCTAGATTTAAAGTGATACAGAGAAAATATTAATGTAGGTTAAACTTAAAGGTATGCTCTTTGTGTAGCCCTTATGTTGTGAGTAGAACCAAAAGTTGGGTAAAGATTCTACAGCATTCAAAAACTATTATCTGATTCAGCAAAGAAGTCACTCACGTATTTGACAGACACATGAAGTTCCAAAGTGTGTCTGAGTGGTGACACTCTAGCCCCTGTCCTTCACATCAGACATGACCATTTACATCAGAGGTAACATTCTTCCAGGAGAGCAGGCAGAGGTTGACTGTTGCTCTAAGAGTTGGGCAAAAACCCAAGAATGCATTTTGTGAGAATAAGATAGTAAGGGCGGGTGGGGGAAGAACTTCCTTGGCAGTCCAGTGGTTAAGACTCCACTCTTTCACTGTCAGGGCAGCTAAGATCCCACATGATGTGCGGTGCAGTTAAAAAAAAAAAAAGATACTATATGAAATTTACAATAAAAGGATGGTATATTTTATTATTTGTAAAATGTGTGCTGCACATTCTTCATATCAGTAAAGTTTATAATAAGCTTACATACATGTGTGGGTTTGTATGTATGTATATATTTACATGCATGCATACCTCTTCCTCTTTGGAAAGACAGTTCTTAATTGAGCAGGGAGGGAAGCAGTTTTGTCCCAAAATTAGCCAGGGATTCTGCTAAACATCCTGCATGCAGAGGACAGACCCCGCAGCAAAGATTTAACCAGCTTAAAATGTCAGTAGTGCCAAGTTTAAGAAACTCTGCTCTAGGGCATATATAAGAAATATAAATTAGTTCAGGTATACCTAACTTTTACCCATTAACAATCCAAAATCTTGTTTTCTTGATTAGATTTTTATATAGGAGTTTAACTGATTTATAATATATTGATTTCTGCTGTAGAGCAAAGTGGCTCACTTATATATATATACATTCTTGTTTTAATGTTCTTTTCCATCATGGTGTCTCATAGGATATTGAATATAGTTCTCTGGGCTGTACAGTAGGACCCTGTTTATCCGTTCTATGTATAAAAGCTTATGTCTGCTAACCTCAGCCTCCCGCTCTGTCCCTTCCTCGGTCCCCCCTCTCCTGGCAACCGCCAGACTATTCTGTCTGTGTTTCTGTTTCATAGATAGGCTCATCTGTGTCATATTTTAGATTCCACATGTAAGTGATATCATATGGTATCTGTCTCTTTTCTTTCTGACTTCACTGAGTGTAATAATCTCTAGGTCCATCCATGTTGCTACAGTGGGCATTATTTTGTTCTTTTTTAGGGTTCTTTTTTATTGCCTTGTATATATATGCCACATCTTCTTTACCCATTCATCTGTCAGTGGGGGTTTCCATGTCTTGGCTATTCCAGATAGTGCTGCTATGAACGTAGGGGTGCATGTATCTTCCAGTTATAGTTTTGTCTGGGTATAAGGCCAGGAGTGGGATTGCTGGATCATATGGCAGCTCTCTTTTCAGCTTTTTGAGGAACACCCACACTGTTCTCCATAGTGGCCACACCAATTTACATTCCTGCCAACGGCGCAGGAAGCTTCACTTTTCTTCACACTCTCTCCAGCGTTTGTTATTTGTAGACTTTTTAATAATGGGCATTCTGACTGGTGGGCGGTGGGACTTCACTGTGGTGTTGATTTGCATTTATCTAATAACTAGTGATGGTGAGCATCTTTTCATGTGCTGCTGGCCATCTGTATGTCTTGTTTAAAGACGTGTCTGTTTAGGTCCTCTGCCCATTTTTTGATTTGGTTGATTTGTTGAGTTGTGTGAGCTGTTGATATATTTTGGATATTAAGCCCCTGTCAGTCACATTGTTTGCAAATATTTTCTCCCATTCTGGCTTTTTGTTTCATTTTTCTGCTTTGTCTTTTTGGTTGTTTTTGTCTTGTTTTATTATTCAGTGTATTTCATAATTGCAGAATAACTTACACACAGTGAAATGCTCCTATCTTAAACGTACGCCTCGTTAGGGTGGATCCACTCAGATGCCCAGTCCTCCAGGTCTGTTGATTCTGTGGCCTTAACAGCTCCCCGCATGTCCATTTCTCTCCACTGTTGCTCCCTCCGTTCTGACCTTCAGGACCTGTCTCCTGGCTCACTACAGCAGCCTTGGAATGAGACCCAGTCCCCCCGCTCATCGCCTGCACTGCAGCCAGAGGGGTCTGTCCCGAGTGCAGACCACATCCTGTCAGTATCCAGTGACAACCCTTAAGGCTTTCAAGGATGAAGTCTCAGCCGCACATACTCCTTTCAAGGCCTTCGTACTTCAGCGTCATCTCCTCCCTCTGCCCACAAGCTCGGCTCCCACCCCTAGGTTTCTCCTCCTACCCCATCTGCTTAGAGGCCTTTGCCCATGCTGCTTATTCTACATAAATACCCTCCCCCCCATCATCCTGCCCCACCCCTCCCCCAGCAGACACCCCTCAGGACTGAGCCCCATGACTGTAAGTTCTAGGACGTGTTCTCTGCCACCCCACTCCTTCCCCTTGAGTTGGGTCAGTGTCCCAGCCCCTCCGTGCTTTGCTCTGACCCTCGGTTCTTGACTCCTAGTGTGGCTCTCATCACACAGTGTCGCCCAATACCCACCTCGCCCCAACCCTAAACTGAGCTTTGAGGGTAGGGACTGTTTCTCACGCATCCTGACATCTCCAGGGAAATGGAATGATCGTGCTGGCGGAGGTAGAGCGCTCACTGAATTTGCTGCTGGACCTGCTGGGAGGCGGGATCAGAGAGCCGAGCAGAGCAGCGTGGGGAACTGCTGTCTCCTTACCCGTTTGTCTTGTCCTCGCAGCCTGATGAAAATTCACTGGATTTTTCCTCTTGTATGCTCCGGCCTGGGATTAAAAACGCTCAGGAGCTGGCTTGCGGGGTGTGCCTCTTGAACGTGGACTCCAGGAGCCGGGTAAGTCACCGCCTCCCCCCACACCACTTCCAAGGCAGAGCACGTCCCCAACAGGACCTGGGGCACAACCCCACCTGACCCAGAGGCAGGGAGCCGATGAGGTCCCGAGGTGGGACCACAGAAGCAGAGACTTCCTCCCAGGGGCGGTGCGGGGAGCTGTTGCAGGAGTGGATCAGGTCTTGCCTCTCTGTGGAGCGGGCTCGTTTGCCTTCTGCCTGCAGCCCCCTCTGCATGCAAGGTGGCACGGGAGAAAGGGTCGAACTGCAAGAACTTGTCTGCAGGCCAGAGGCCCCGTGCTGGGAATGTTGTTGACCTTATGGTTTCAACATTATTTCAGAAAGAAGAGAAGCCTGCAGAAGATCATCCTAAAAAAGTATGAACCACTTACTCGTTACCTTAGTGTCTCCCATCTTAATTTTGAATGTGGAGGGCAAATTCAATGATTCCACTGTCATCCTGAACTGTTCCAATCACGGATGCTTTGCTGAGTCCTTTCCATTCCCACAGTGTCTGATTCAGTCAACTAACGTGTCCACGCAGGTCACTTCCGTCTTGTGTGCATGCTTTGTGGCTCAGTATCGGCTTCTGGTGTGGCGGTTATTTTCCTCTGGGAGGAACAGGGTAACAGAAAGGGTAGCTTCTGGAAGACCAGGTCATCGTGACACAGGAGGAGGTTAGAGAGCTTCAGCACTTGGCTGTTAGCAGACAGAAACAGATTTGGGGAGCTAGGGAGGTTAGAGTTTTGTTTATTTGTAGACGTTTAGAAAACACCCCAGGAAGTGGTTGAGGTTAGGCCTGGCTGGCTGTAATTTACCTGCAAGCATTTTTCATTTGGAAAGCATTCTTCGGTGTCTGGTATCTTTTTTACAAGACCTGTACCTATTTGGACATTTTAATGATGTCAGTTCGGCTCTCAGCTCCCAGTGGCATTAGACCCATTTTAATCTGAGTTTTCTCTATGATAGGCCCATATGAGCCTCCAAGACCTCAGGGATGGCATGTAACAGTCAAATGCCAGCCTCAGGGAAGGGCTTCCTTCTTCACAAAGAGATCAAAATGATCGGCGCTTGGCTATTTTCGTTCCCATGTCATGACCCCTGCCAACCCCCACAGCCTCTGTGTGCCTTTTCTAGGAAGGATTTGGCCTCCTTTTGCTGAAACTGGGTTTAACAGTAAAGATTTTTTTTTATGCCTTTAATTAGCGGCACAAAACTTTTCTCACTTGAATTCCTGTAGCCACCTGCTCAGCTTTTGTGTGTGTGCCAGTCTGGCCTCAGCCTCTGTGTCCTGGAGCGGGGTCCCTGCCGGCTGCCGGTCAGCCCGGGCGTGGAGGGAGCCTCACCACTCCCCCCTCGTATCTGTTTCTTCCTGGCAGGCGTTCAACTCGGAAACTGACAGCTTCAGGCTGGCGTACGGGGGACACCAGTATCACGCCAGCTGTGCCAACTTCTGGATCAACTGTGTGGAGCCCAAACCTCCCGGCCTGATCCTGCCCGATTTGCTCTGAGAGCGCCTGACTGCTCCTCTGTGACGGACCCAGCTGGGTTGGTTTTTTCCACCACACCCCCTGGGGTGACCAGGACCAATAAACGGAGTGCGGAGTGCGAGTGCTGTGGATCCCCCCACCCACCCATCAGGAGGAAAGCCTCAAGAGGTGGGGGGAGGGGCTGTGCAGCGTCTCAGTCTTTCCCACAGACGACCTTTGCCCCCAAGTTCCCAGGGCCAGTCTTTGGAATTTCAGGTCAAACCACCCTACCCAAATTGCACGTGGCACCGGAAGTTTGCTAATTTATCTCTAGTTCTCTTAAGATGTTTTAAAATATGGACCACAATTGCCTTTATCTGAGGAATAATTTGCTGCTGCAGCATTGAAACTGTGAAGAATTGACATTTGAAGAAAAATAAATTCTTGCTCTAGGACTGGAGTCAGAAGGATTTTGAGCCAGTGTTTGTGTATCTGGAACACCTTCTGTTCTGTGAAGTAGAATGCATTTAGCCACATTTAGTGTGTTAATATCTAAGATGAATATAAAGGGAGAAATTGTGATTAAACAGATGTTCCTTTTATAGAAAAATTTCTGCTTCTCTCCACTGGACAACGGCAGGTGGGTGAGGGTTGATTTACCAACTTTAGTGTCGCGACAGAACCAGTTCTCCACTCTGTTGGTGCATTTGTAAGACTGTCAGCTTTCAAGAAAACTTTCAAAGCACACCTGGGGACTTTGCAGTGGAGAACGTTCATTTCGGCCAAGACCTGAATCTTGGTCTATCTGGATGAATATCGTTGCCCTTGGGGGTCTTCACTGAAAGCCTTGTGTACCTCACACACAGACTGTGAACGTAGTATTTTTTTCAAACAAGGTTTGGAAAGGCAGCTGAATGAAATCTCTTTGCAAAGGCCTCTGTCCAGATTTCCAAAAACGTCTGCACAGGGACCAGTCCGTTTCTCTGAGACCTAGAAATTGGACTGTGAGAGACCAGGGTTGAACGGTGGAGCTCATGGCCCAGCAAGAAGAGTAAGGTGTGTATTTGTGGTGGAGGCACGTGACTTAGAAGCAATGGCAGGAAATTGTTCAGAACCAGCACTGAATTTTAGGAGGAAAAGGCTCATGCTGTCTGTTGTGTGGTGGTGTTTTGTTTTTTTTTTTTTTTTTTGCCTCGCTGTGTAGCTTGTGGGATCGCAGCTTCCCTACCAGGGATTGAACCTGCATCTTCAGCAGTGAAAGCATGGAGTCCACACCATTGGGTCACCAGGAACTCCGTCATGCTCTCTGGTATAGGGAATTTTCTTTGCCGCTTAAACCGAATGCATAAAATCAGGGGGAAAAAAGTCAAGTAGTAAGGACTGTGTTGTTCCTGGGAAGAACACGTCAATCTAGGACACACATTTCGGTTGTGAATTACGTGCTTATGAAGCAATTTTGAACTTTGTGTGGTTCACTTTGTGTGGCTTAAGCTCTCTGACATAGACTTAGTTTTTGTTTGTAAACTGGAAAAGTTGGTTTTGTCTGTATAACTGCTGCTTCACATAATTAATTAGATCATTTTTCTCTCCTCAGGACAAAACTTGGGGCAATTCGATTTTGCTCCATCTTACATCTTTTACTTCCACCCTCCCCAAAAAAGGTAGAGAATGTTTTCATTCCTGAGCTGTTGAGGCTTCTGCTTTACCTGGCTGCATACCAGGATGCACAGACAAGTGTTGATGAGGTAAATCTGTTTTTTCTCATCTGTTGCGGATGATACCATCTCCAGCTGCTAATAACCAGAACAGCTGTCTCTGAGTTGTTACCTTTGCCCTCCACAGGGCCAGTGGGTGTTAGTGATGACACAAGTGGGCCGGTTTCCAGTAGACTTTGCCTGGGGCCCCGGGCTCCACTTCAGCCTGAGCAGTGCCTTGTGTTTCGACATGGCACCAAAATTCAAGCAGCCTTCTCATTGCTCTTACACATTCCATGATAGACCATGGTCACCAATCTACCTTTGCAACAAGAAACGTCTCCCAGTTTGACAGAATTTCCACGGCAGAGACATTTTTGGAAACGCTGTGTGGACTATTATTCTGTCACAGTGGTCCATATTGATGACAGTGCTCACCTGTTAACTAGATAGGTTTCCATTTCTAGATGTATTCCAGAACGCCTCAGATAAAACTCGTAAGTATAGTTACTGCTGACTTTAGCAAGTACGATAGGTTTAGTCACTTCATAGGAGGTGCCAGAGGAAAAATACAGCAGGCATCAACGAAAAGCCTTTGCTGCAGAGTATTCACTACTTTCAGTATCTTGTTTAGTATTGGAAATGCTTTATTAGATCTGCCAATAAAGATTTGGGGAGTGTGGAATACTGTCGCGTTGATTTTCTTTACGCAGGTTTTTTTTTTTTTTACGCAGGTTTATTAAAATGAGTCAACACTGCATTCAGCTTCACCTCAATGCTTGTTAGCCAAGAGCCCAGTGTCCTTGGAAACAGTAACCAAGGTTACTCACTTCCATACAATGCGTTGTGCAGGCTGCTGCTCCCCTTGCTTGAGTGGCAATTAGCAAGCTCTGTTCTGGTGGTGTATTTTGCCTTTAAATGTCTGATGGCTCACTGTGCAGTTTTGTCTGGACATGCTTGAGACAGCAGCAGCACAGTGTGGATCAGGGCGTTATCTATGCTTTGCTTTTCCTGCGGCTCCTGGTTAGCAGTTCATAGAGGTTGCTTATTCTAAATTATCTGAACATATTTGGTGTGCATCTACGTAATTTATTTACAGGTGCCTTCTGATTGCTTTTTCTTTAATGACTAGTGTGTTCTTAAGCTTAGAAAAAATGACAGGGCCTTTATGCTATGGATCACTACAAAAATTCCCCTGATACCTTTGAGGCCACACACCTTCCTTTGTGACTTTTAGCTAATAAACTCTGACATTTAGATTAGAAAGGTGTTAGACTGACTAAGCGTTAAGAATTCTCTTAGCTACGTCCCAGCGTTGATGTTTGCCAGGATTTCTGCAGAAAAATTTTCTTAATTACAGGGAACATCTGTCACCAGGTGTTTTCCTTCTGTGTACAGAGATAATTTTTGGATGTGTCTCCAGAGACCCCCAGACCTAGAGTGCCTTCATATTGTCAGAGCCCAGCCTCCACAACCGTAGATTGTTTTGTCTTCTGATTGATTTTTGATCATGTGCTGCCAAAGCATTTATGGGTTGCTCTGATTTCCCACAGAAACTATTAATTTCATTTTAATTTTCCCATGCAGACAATAATGGCACATTTTTTAAGTGGGCAAATTTTAAAATTAGAATGCAGAGGGAGACCACTGCCACAAACCAGGTAAAATCTGAAGAATGTGATTTATATAAATAGGCAGCTACTGGCATTATCTGTAGGGCTTCTTGCCACACAAACCCAAAAGCTAGGAAATTGTTCTGTGGATAAGCAGGCTACAACCTACCTGGCAAATGAAGTAAAAGCAAGCTGTTGCTGGGACAGGTGGCTCTCCTAGAAAAGGAAGGGGCAACCCGGGCACTCCCAGTGGCTTCCCGGGGGCATGGACTAGAGACATTAGCAGAAACGTGTGCCTGTTCCCTGTTGTCTTATCAGACTTACGAGGAGCAGTGACATTTCCAAGTTTCAACAAAGGAAGCCATTGTGTTAGTTTATCATTTGTGCTGAGGTCTGGTTTAGGGCATTTTTGTGTAAGTCAGTAGGCAGGCAAAGGGGCATACCTTTTGTTAAAAAACAATTTCTTTCATGGAGGACTCACCGCATTGGTGCCCTCCAGTTACCAAGAGATGCTGTTTCTCTACTGTCCCAGCATGGTGAACGATGTTAACATCCGCCCATATGCAAGGATGGGAAATGCTGACATGACTCAAGGGGATGTCTGTTTTAAGTAGCATTCCTAATTATCACAGGAGCCATACCCTTAATGGTTGCTCAAAAGCTGTCTTTTGTCCATCAACACACACACACACCCTGAAATTCTCGTTAGTAAAAATTCCAATATGTTAAGCAGATGTATTTATTAAAAATAATGCTAATATACTCCTGGGGCACATTGATTCCAAGAGGGTGTTTGCAGCAGATTGCATTATAATTATTTAACAGCTAAATAATAAAGGCTCTTTTTTTTTTTTAAACTTACAGAGTCACTAAATAATAGAAGGAAAGGAAAGAGTAGGGCTGATCCAGTGGAGACTGATGCTGGTATCAGTGTTCCCTAAGCATTTGTTTGGTCGGCAGCCTGGGCAAAGCCTGTATCTAAAGGGTTAATGGGGATCCGAAGTGATTTTTGCACTGAGCTCCTCCCATGATGCCAAGAGGCAGGGGGTTGAGAGCACAGCAGAACCAAACAGTTTATTAAACTGTTGAAACTGTTAAAAATGATTAAAAGCCAGTTCAAGATTTTCATAAACACTATTCCAAAATGTTAGTTTTAAAAATGTTAGTAGCAATGTGAGCATTCCCCATGTCTTCCTCCCCTCCGCTCCCTCTCTCTCAAAAATAAAACATGAACACCCAGTGTAAAAAAACACTTCAGGGAGGAGCATTTGTCCACCACTTGGAAAGAAAGGTGCGGAGGGGAGCAGACGGCGTGTAGCAGGCGCTGGCACTGCTCGAGGGGCTGCTGCTGCAGGCTCTGGTGGCTCAGATCCCCCAGTAAGGCATCAGGTGTCGGGACTCCTTCTCGTAAACGTCTGGCACGATGCCGTAAGGTGTCTGTACCATTTTAACTGTCGACTTTCCAAAGAGCTGGCGCTCGTAGTCTATCAGCTGCCTCCAGAAGCCGACGTTGGGCCTGATGACGGGCCTCCGGGCTTTGACCCAGCTGTAGGCCTCCAGCAGGCACACGTTGTGAAACTTCATCAGGTACGCGATGCAGAGCGTGGCCGAGCGGCTGACGCCCGCAGCACAGTGCACGAGGGTGGCCCCGTGTTTCCGGCTCACGCTGTGGATCTTGTCGGCCACGCTGTCAAAGTACAGTCCGATGGGGGCGTGAGGCATGTCAGCCAGAGGCACTTTAACGTATTCAAACTGGGGCCAGTTGAAATTGGGGATCTCGATGGTAGCGTTCACAATGCAGGTGATGCCGCGCGCCTGGAGGAGGTGCCGGTTGGAGGCTACGCTGCCTCTGCCCAGGAAGAGCGAGGAGGTGATCTGCGCGATGCCTCCTAGGTCTCCCTCGGAAATCATCCGGGGGGCCATGAGAGTCCGGGGGAGCGTGCTGTGACCTCTGGAGCTCATGAAGACGCCAGCAATCACACTTGCATCGTTGAAAGCAAGACCAGAGTGTGTTGTTTTCCTCCACCAAGGAATCAGAAGTTACAGTTGCCTTCCTGCAAGATACAGGTATCCATCAGTACTCTAAACGCTACTGATTCATCACAGCCTTCTATAGTGTCTGCGGAATGGGATGGTGAGAGGATTGGAGATGGTAATTTTCTATAATAGCGTGTTCTTCCCAGGATGGAGACAAATCATTTTCATTGATTAACAGGAAAGGTAGTCAAAGATGCCAACATGCAAAATGAATGAAAAATTCAGCACACTGGTGATTTTTTTTTTTTTAAAGGCACTAAAGAGAAAGTCTTTCTATTTTAGGGAATGTTAAAGACAGAAACAAGTGCAGCTAATCCCTGAATAACAGCTTTGTGGGGTCCTGCTCTTACCGAGGGGAGTGGTGTTCAGTGGTAATTAGGAAGAGATCAGAATTTCGGATCCCACCTAAGGCTGTGCTCTATCATATATTCCTGCCTACCTCCCACGGCTATGATGGCCATATTTTCATAAGCCTAACTCTAGACATAGAGATCCTACAAAAGTGTAAAAATGATACCGCTTTAGGTATTGTATTCCAATGAATGGGCTTTGTGGACTAGAGAGATACTGAATTGGATCAGTTATAGAAAGGCCAGGAACATATGGTCACCTTAGCTCTTTATAATTTAAAAGAGCTAACTCTATCATATTTATTATTTGTGACATCTGAATACCTGTACTATGACATTTCCATGGAAACAATCACAGGTAACTTCAAAGCCATGGTAGCAAAAATTCACTCATCTAAGTTAATGAGCATTTTAGCTGACCTGACCCTGGATGTGGCCAAATACACTTTCCTCAGCCCAAGATTTTTCTAATCTCCAAGATGTATCGCCCGCCTGCTTTAAGATGTGTGTTGGAAATAAAGTTTAACAGAATGTCTATGTAGTCTTTCACACCACTTTAGTCTGTGCCCTGAGAAGTGTGCGTATCCCCCACCCAGGGCCCCGTAGGGCTGCCCAGCGTGATTCCAGTCAGAAGAGCATCCCCGGTCCATAGACAAGAGGCGGCGCTGGGGCTACTCACTTGTGAGGTGTCTGGTTCCTCTGGAGTCCCGGGTCTGGAAAGTCTTAAGTGAGGGAGTGCTGACCAGACTGGATACAAATCAGATCTGTAGAAAGACAAGGAGGTGGGAACGTGGCCACTCATGAACATCCAAAGAAATCCTCCGGGTTTTACTATGAAACTGGGTTTGACTGGAACCAATGTTCACCGCAGCACTGTTTATAATAGCCAGGACATGGAAGCAACCTAGATGCCCATCAGCAGACGAGTGGATGAGGAAGCGGTGGGACATATACACCATGGAATATTATGCAGCCATTACAAAGAATTCATTTGAATCAGTTCTAATGAGATGGATGAAACTGGAGCCCATTATACAGAGTGAAGTAAGCCAGAAAGATAAAGACCAATACAGTATACTAACACATATATATGGAATTTAGAAAGATGGTAACGATAACCCTATATGCAAAACAGAAAAAGAGACTCAGATGTATAGAACAGACTTGTGGACTCTGTGGGAGAAGGCAAGGGTGGGATGTTTCAAGAGAACAGCATCGAAACATGTATATTATCTGGGGTGAAACAGATCACCAGCCCAGGTTGGATGCATGAGACAAGTGCTCGGGCCTGGTGCACTGGGAAGACCCAGAGGGATCGGGTGGAGAGGGAGGTGGGAGGGGGGACCGGGATGGGGAATACATGTAAATCCATGGCTAATTCATTTCAATGTATGACAAAAACCACTACAATTTTGTAAAGTAATTAGCCTCCAACTAATAAAAATAAATGAAAAAAAAAAAAAAAGCTAGGAAGTGGAAAGCATATTAAATACATCTCCATGTGTATTTAAAGAATGGGCCAGTGAGACCTATCAACCTGGGACTTCCCTGGTGGTCCAGTGGCTAAGACACCGTGATCCCAATGCAGGGGGCCTGGGTTCGATCCCCAGTCAGGGAACTTGATCCCACATGCTGCAACTTATGTACCACAGCTGAGACCCAACAGAGCCAGGTAAACATTTTGAAGAAGAAAAACTATCAACCCAAGTCTCAGCTTTTTGTTGATACTTTTCACACCACGGGTTACGTGTTGTTAAGTGCACTTTTGGCCATGGTAAAGATGAGTTTTTGAGAGGAGGATTCAGAGACAGCATATTGAAACGTAAGGCTCTGCTCACGGGGCCTGCAAGAAATGCACAGGAAGCTCAAGTCTCTCCCCTGTGCCAGCAGCCAAGCCAGCAGCGTGGGGCTGGGTGCAGCAGCCAAGCCGGGTGCCGGGAGCCAGCCAGCTCCACAAGGAGCAGCACTGCAGAGGTGGCCTCAGCCATGAACGTCAGCCCCAGAGGTGCTGGTGCTGGAGAGATCTGAAATTGCTTTCGTTTTGTTTTCTTGTCCATGTTGGCCCTCTGACTTACTCATTTATGCAACCATATGAACACCAATCAGCATTATTAAAAACGTGATCCTCCCCGAGTCACATGCAAATCAATGAAGTGAGAACACAGCACACACAAAAATAAACTCAAAATGGCTTAAAGACCTAAATAGAAGACATGACACCATAAAACTCCTAGAACACAGGGAAAATAGTCTCTGACATAAATAGTACCAGTGTTTTCTTAGGTCAGTCTCCCAAGGCAATAGAAATAAAAGCAAAAATAAACAAATGGGACCTAATCAAACTTACAAGCTTTTGCACAGCAAGAGAAACCATAAAACGAGAAGACAGCCTACAGACTGGGAGAAAACATTTGCAAATGATGCAACAGACAAGGGCTTAATTTCCAAAATACATAAACAGCTCATACAACTCGTAACAAAACAAACCCAACCCAAAAATGGGCAGAAGACCTTAATACCAAACAACACACGGCATACGGATGACCAGCAGGCACATGAAGAGATGCTTATTGCTAATTATTAGAGAAATGCAAATCAAAACTACAATGAGGTACCACTCACACCAGTCAGAATGTACATAATTTAAAGGTTTACAAATAAATGCAGAAGGGGGTGTGGAGAAAAGGGAGCCCTCCCACACTGCTGGGGGTTTGTAAGCTGGTATGGTCCCGACGGAGAACAGTATGGAGGTTCCTCAAAGCACTAGGCTGAGTTACCGTGTGCGCTTAGTCACTCAGTCCTGTCCGACTCTGTGACCCCACAGACTGCAGCCCGCCAGGCGCCTCTGTCCATGGGGTTTTTCAGGCAAGAATACGGGAGTGGGCTGCCATTTCCTCCTCCAGGGGATCGTCCCCACCCAGGGATCAAACCCAGGTCTCCTGTGTATCTGCTTTACCTGCTGAACCATCAGGGAAGCCCAAGAGTTACCCTGTGGTGTGTGGTTTAGTCACTGAGGCATGTCTGACTCCAGCAATCCCACTCCTGGGTATATCCAGACAAAACTAATTTGAAAAGATACATACACCCCAGTGTTCACAGCACTGTTAACAGCCAAAACATGGGAGACAACTGAGGTTGTTGGATGGATAGAGATGTGGGAAACACACGCTATGGAATATTACTCAACCATAAAAAAGAAAGAACTAAACACCATTTGCAGCCATGTGGATGGACCTGGATATCATCACATTAAGTGAAATCAGAAAAACAGATACCATATGGTATAACTCATATGTGGAATCTTAAAATAGGACACAAATATATCTACAAAACAGAAACAGACTCAGATACAGAGAACAGACTTGTCACAAAGGCCAGGGTGTGGGGGAGGGAAGGACTGAGAGTTTAGGATTAGCAGATGCAAACTATCAATATTATATATAGGCTGGATAAACAACGTGGTGCTACTGCCTATGCACAAGGAACTATATTCCTGTGATAAACCATAATGGAGAAGAATATGCATATAATGGAAAAAAGTTTGTTCCCCTATTTGTCCCTCTGCCTTTCCCAGGTAACTATTACACTTAATTTTTTCTTTTTTTCTTTTTTTTTTTTTTTTACAGCTCTGTGGAGCTGTAACTGACATACAATTTGATGTAAAATGATGAGTTGTGACACACGTACTCAAGACACCATGACCTCAAAATAATAAACATATCCATCACCACCCAGAATGTCCTCATGCTCCTTTATAATTCCTCCCTCCCTCACCTTCCAGCCCCATTCCCAAGCAACCACTGATCCACTTTCTGTCACTATAGTTTACATTTTCTAGACTTATACAGTGGACTCATTCCATATAGTGTTTTTCTGTTTGGTCTGGCTTTCACTCAGCATAATTATTTTCACATTCACCCATGAAACTGTGTCTATTAATATGTCATTCCTTTCTTTTTATTGCTGAGTAGTATTCCATTGTGCAGATATAGTTCTTTCATCTATTGACACTAATTTTAGACTAGCACAAGTGAAGTTGATGTAAACATTAACGTACAGGTATTTGTGTGGATATACACCTTCCTTTCTCCTGGTTAACTACCTAGGAATGGAAAGAGAAAGTCTCTCAGTTGTGTCCGAGGCTTTCTGCGACCCCATGGACTGTATAGCCCATGGAATTCTCCAGGCCAGAATACTGGAATGGGTAGCCTTTCCCTTCTCCAGGGGATATTCCCAACCCAGGGACTGAACCCAGGTCTCCCGTGTCGCAGGCGGATTCTTTACCAGCTGAGACACCAGGAAGTGGAAGGGCTGGGTCATAGGACATGTGCATATTTAACATTTTAAAACAGGTTCTAAACAATCATTATAGCTTGCAGCCTGTGGGGCAGGCTACCGTAATCCTCCCCAAAGACCTCAGAGGGTGAGCACCACCTTCGCCATTCCCCTCTGCTGTGTTCCAGAGCACCCGTGTGCGCTGCCCTGGACGCTGTGGCTGCCACCCACCCAGGGGACGCTCCTTGCCCACCTACTCTGAGGGCAAACACGACTCTGGGCCGGCTCCAGCCCCAGGCA